CTGCTGCTGCTGCTGCTGCTGCTGCTGTATTAGGATTAGTATTAGTATTAGTATTAGTATTAGTATTAGTATTAGTATTAGTATTATAAACAGTCAATCAAAATTGTCCAAACATTGACTAGTATTACATAACAGATACAAGTTTTAACCAAAAATCTGAGTATCTGTTCAATATCAACGTAGTATATATGCTGTTCTTAATATTGCTATTTTTGTAGCTCTGTTGATGTTATTTCTGGAATCTGCAACTATTTTGGTCATTTTTCAAATTCTTTAGCTTCAACTCTGGCATCTCCTGGAATTGCAATGTCAATGGTCCAAACTTTTCTTCATTCTATTACTATTATGTCTGGTGTGTTATGTTTAAGGTTATCATTTGGATCTGGAAATCCCACAAAATCTTGACTTCCTCATTTTCTGACACCTTCTCTACCTGATGTCCCCATCGGTTTTTGGAGGCTTCTTCTTCTTCTTCTTAATTTGTATGGTATCATTTCAATAAAAAATATTATAATAGGAGTGTGTGCATTAACAGATTAACTTATTTCTCCTTTCTCTCCAAATTTGAAGACCCTTTAGGAGAAACTTTAAATAAATATTTGATGCACTTTAGGGTTTTGAATCTTGAGTTAAGTCTTGGTCATCTGTGGCAACAAAGGGTATTTAAAGCAGATCTGTGGTAAAGAAAAGGTTAAGAACTGCTGGTCTACTACATTATCTCTTCATGACAACTTTTGCAGAGGTAGCAATTTTTTCAGGCCAAAGTACCTCTTGAGGTAACGACTAATAATCTTTCTAAGTAGACCTTGAATTAATTGCTTTAGGCATTATTTACTCACTCCACTGGCTCCTCTGTACAACAGAGATAAAGAAAAGGTAACTGGAATTTGAAACGCTACAGCAGATAAAATACATTCACAATGCATTTCAAAAATGATTTAAATGGGAAATGTAGAATCTGATCTGGTTTCTTGTGGTTTGTTTGTTTCTGTTCGATATTTTCTGCATGTATTGATTTGACATATAAAAAGAAAGCCACTCTCATAAAGTTTACAGCACGTTAATCCTTTGCAAACAGATAGCCTTTGCTTGATATGTGCCCAACAAAGCTTGCAGACGTATACTCCTCACATGCTCAAATAAAACTCTGTCACTTTGTGGCAAACACCTGCTTCAATAACAGTGGTGTGAGTGAATGTAAATAAAATTTGTTTTAGAAGATTACATGGTAATGAAAGACTAATGATGTGTGGTCTACTGCATTTAGCAGAAAGCTAATTTTCAGCTGTGTTATTAGCATTGTTTGTGATGTTGGCAATAGTGCCTGTGATCTGTGTGAATGAATGACAGAGGGCAGGAAGAGTGTGACGTGTGGAATGTTAAAAGGCAAAGCATTGTCCTCTGATTGGTTCTTTGGAAGTGAATACTGTAGATATAAGTGGGCAACTGCATCCTTTTCTTTGTAACTGTCACAAAGCAAGCAGACAGAAGAAAGAGAGAGCCATCTCCCCCACAGTAAGTCTTGACTTCGTAAGCTCAATGATTATAGAAATTTTATATTAGAGCAACAATTATTGTACAATGGGTTTAAACTTTATCAAAATTTTCAGTGGGTTCCAATGTTTTTGCAATAGGTGCAACAATTAATTTTGTTATTTTCTTAACTGAATTGTTTTGGAGTTTGGATATTTCAGCATGCATACATATGTTATAGGGTGCCTAGTGCAACGAAATAAACAAGAAATACGCTGATCTTGTGTATGTGACATGAAAGGCACTGCTTTTGCGAACAAATGTATTATGCAAAGCAAAATACAAGTTTCAAATGAGTACATGTGCTATCTATATAAAAAGTAAGTGAAACTGTTTATCTGGCTTCAGCAGGGATAGATGGTCAAGGAAGTGGTTAAAATAATAGCATATTTTTGTACTTCATTCCTTGTAATGAAACATGATCCTAACAATATCAGAAAGGATCCATTCTATAGGAACTTGCATAAAGCACATTTGCCATTGAAGGAAACAGCTCAAAACAAGATGAAAGTATAAAATATCACTCAGCATTAGTAGTGATGGTGGTAGTAGCAGTAGTAGTTTAAGGCATACACAAGCCAAAGGTTGTGCATTGACTTGAAATTTACTATTCTTGTGCATAGTAAATAACGTCATTTTCCAGACAAATCTCTCTTTAGGTGTCAGATATTATGTCTCCTCTATTATCTCAGCTGTGTTAAAAGTACTATAGGCACCCTGGTTTATATACCTACCTACAAACTGTTACTTTGTCTCAACTTTCCAATAATTCATATTTTTGCCTAGTTTTAGGGAGTACATTAATAGTTCAAATGTTATTAAATGTGCGTAACATTTGCTGTTGGTAAGAAAGAGCTAAGAAATAAATGACCTCACAAACAACCGTCATGCTACAAAAATTGAATTTTAAACATAGGGGACTCAACTATGAATTGAACTGTATTTTCTTTGATGTTAAAATTAATCAGAGTTCCACATTTCATTGTCTCTGAGGCCAGTTATCTAACAAGTTGTATTTACCCCATGTATAAGACTTCTGCTTTATGGCTTTAGTTAACCATCCATATACCTAATTTAAACAAAAGTTCATATTTTTCTGCAAGTCTCTAATGATTAGACTTTCTGTATAATCAGTTGCATCCTTATAAGTGGTTCTTGAAAGGATATTATCTCTGTTGTTTTCAAAACAATAGGGATTTTAACTTTGATTAACTTTTACAAGTTGTATCCTGTGCTTTATTTACTTAATTCTTGACAGAGTGCATTAAATGTGAAAAGTATATTCACGAGTAATTCTAGTTGCAGAAGATGGCCTTAGAAAGATTAATGGAATATGAGGATATAAACAGCTTTGAGAATGAATGTCCTAGAAACATCCATTCCTTTTGTAGTACGGGAGTGAGTGGATGAAAAGGAACAAGTACCTTATTCAGATCTCGGAGATCCACAGTGATGGTACAATTGCTATGATTCTGAGGTTCATTGCTTGTGTTTGTGCCCAAACTTTTAACTTCAAAGGAGACAGCTTTTCAGACTTGATTCTCAGAGGACTTCACTCAAGAAATATTTAATTTAGGCTTCCCGTTGGTATCTGAAGCAAAGCGGCAGAAAGATGAACGATTGATCAGAATATTCATGTTTGATTCTATAGGCCTTCATATATCTATTATTATATACTAGTAACATTTATGCCCTCCTTTCCTCCAATCTGTGCAAGAAGGTCAATTAGATTACATGTTTTTAATCTTAGTCAGTTGCTCAGCCTATTCAGATGTTATCCAAGTCTTTGTTGGTGCAGTGCCGTAGTGACATTAAAGGAAAGGGATTTCTGTGATTACACATTTCATATAAAGTTTCCCAGCATCTCCACACCTACCCTAGAATGACAGAATCATAGACAACTAGGGTGGAAGGGACTGCAGCAGCCACTTGCCAAAGCAGGAAATTTTACCTAAAGCATCCATGACAGGTGGACTTCCAAGCTCTCATTAAGCACTTCCAGTGGTGGTGAATCCATCACCTTACAAAGTAGTCCATTCTATCTTCAAAGTGACCTCATGGTTAGGAAATTTTTCCTAATGTTGAACTGAAATCTCATTTCCTGTAATTTAAATCTATTGTTTCTGGTTCTTCCATAGAGAAAACAAGCACCATTCCATCTTCTGTGTGACAGCCCTTCAAATATTTATATTTCATTTCACAGCTCATTATTCTCTCCACAAGACTAAATATACCTACCTCACTTAACTGCTCCTCATAAGGGTTTCCAAACCCTTTTTCATGCTGGTCATCCTAGAATGGACACATTCTAGCTTCTTTATATAGTTCTTAAATTGTGATGTCCAGAACTGAGCACACTATTCCAGGTGGGGCCTAAACAAAGCAGAATAAATTGGTACTATTATTACCCTTGATCTAGACACTATACTTCTGTTGATGCAGATGGCTATTGCATCACCTTTTTCTGCTGTCACATCTCAGTGCTCACTCATGTATAGCTTGTGGTTTCTCCTAGATATTTTTTACATGTACTACTGTCATGTCAGCTGTTGCCCATCCTACATTTGTGCCTGTGATTTTTCCTGTCTTAATGTGGAACTTTACATTTCCCCCTGTGGAAACTAATTTTGTTTGTTTTCCAGTTCTCCAGGTTGTTAAAGTCTTCTTGAATCCTAGTTTTTATCTTCTGCATTCATAGCCACCCTTCCCAGTTTGGTGCCATCTGTGAATTTAATGAGCATCGCCTCTATCCCTCCATCCCTGTCATTTATCGAAATGCTGAGTAATACTGGGTCCCCACTAGTCAATTCTCTTGAAGATGATGAGGAAACATTGGCAAGCACTCTTTGGGTATGGCCACGCCACTTAGCAGTAATACCATCAAGCTCACATTTTTACCACCTTGGCCAGAAGAATATCACAAAGGACCTAATCAAAGCCATGCTGAAATTACATTTGTACAATGTAAATAGCTATATTGTGTTAGGGGATTCAGCAGAGGCATGGGAAGAGAAAATTAAACAATTTGGCATACACTATAATCCGAGATTTTAATTTTTTGGTGTCAAAAAGGGACTATCTTGCTCTGCTGATTATGTAATCTGTTTCACTTCTTTGAAAACTTGCATATTAATTACTCTGACACAATCAGCAGCATCTAGTTTGACCTGAAAATACATTAAATGTTAATCCAGATAAACCTCTGAAATAGGTTTCAGTGCAGGTATTATTTGCTGGATTAGCATCCACAGACATAAATTGGATGCAGCTAATTTAGCTAATGCATCCAACTTCGCTTCTGACTGTGGATGTCTCCTATAAGCATTTTTTTGCTATCTGTTGGATTAATGTTTGTATCATACATTGGAAAAGCCCTTCTTATGAGGTAGTGCAACTAGTCATACATAATTACCATCTAGAACTGGGTCAAGGCTTGGACTCACTTTTGGATTTAGAAGAACTCCAGAATCATGATCTGAAACTTTTGCCACACCATGATGCTTATTATTATATTATTATTTAGAAAAAAAATTGCTATAAAACATTTCTCTTATCATTCCGACAATGTATTCAGTATTAAATTTCTCACAAATATTCCCATTTTTCTGCTAGTATTTGCCTCTTCAACTTCTACACTTCTGGTTTCATTTCTTTAGTGCTGGGCTGTATCCTGAAAATTTCTTTGGATTTGAAGAGGTGGTAACTAAAAAGGGAAAGCTACAGCACCAAGATGGCAGAAAACAAGGAACAAAACAATCCAGTGCTTGAAGTATACATTTTATTACGTTTTCAAAGAGCTGATGCATTTTGGAGAGAATATCCTTTATGAATTTTACAGCAGAAAGAAACAGGAGACAACAACAATTTATATATAAAATTCAGGCAGTTTGTTGTTCTGTGAAAAACATAGATTTACAGTTGTAAAATCTACAACAGTTTTATCAATTATTAAGATACAAATGAGAGTATTTTAAAAAGCTGCTAATAAACTGGTGACAATGCTGAATTTAAAATGGACAAATACAATATATATTAAGCATTGAACACAATTCGCAGTTAGAATATTCGTTTTCCACTCAGATAGCAAAGAGATCCTCTTGAGTCAACTGCATAGAGTCAGAAAACAGAAGAAACTAACTTGATGAAAATTAAACCATGTTAACTAAATCTTCAATCTAAAGACAGCGCTTGCCAGCTGCTGGCAACCAGGATTCTCTCAAGCATTCTCTCAGCATATGCAACAATGAAACTCTTATGCAGGAGCGCAACAGAAGATGCTAATACTACAGTTGTTGAGAAATTACAGGCAACTCCCTCAAAAACAGAACTAAAATTCTGGCTATATTGACAAATAATGCAGGAAATGCTCAAGGACTGGGGTGGTCTGATTCGTATAATTTTGTGTCGATTGCATGAAGTGCAAGTTAATGTGAATCAACCCAGACTCCCCCTCCCTACCCATATCCTTCTTTTTTTTACTCCACTCCTGGGGCTTCTTTTTTTGGCCCAATTAAATGCATTTCCACTGATTCAGGCAGTGTGATTGCTCAAGCTGATGGTGAATGGACAACAAGAAGCTGGCTCTCCCAGCTTCCTAGTTTGATATACATAGAGAGGAAGCAAAAGGCATTTGTGGGGGTGTCAATTCCCCTCAGGTGAACACCCCTTGTTTCAAAACCATGTATCCTCCCCCAAATGGGCTTAGAGTAAGTGCTGGTGTGCTATGAAGCTGTCCGAGAAAGGTGAAAAAAGAGCCAGGAGCCAGGAGACAGTAGGGAGAAAATTTTTGTTACAATAGCTCTTTAAGCTTGGGCAACTTGTTGAGGTAGTTCTGATGTAGCCCTGCCTCTTGCAGATCTGCAGGACTGCCTTCACAAACTGCAAATGAGCCAGATTGCTGTTTTCTTCCTATTTTCCTCCTGACTTTTGTGTGGTCAGCTGAAGTGACACCCCCCCCCCGCAAAACCTGACTTCCTGGGTGTGACTTCACTGTAGATCCATTCACATGTTTTCTGCTGGGTAGTCACACCCTGAGAGAGATGAGAACAACAGAGTACTCTTCTTATGAATTAAAATGACAGACTGCAGTGCTACCAGAGACTCATGGACATGAAACAGTCCATCTCTAAATATGTTCTTATTGTCATTCCCAGGATACAAAATAAGTTGTGTACCGGGAAACTAAAAACCCCAAATAACAGAAAAAAGAAGTCCTTGTAGCGAACAGCCCTGCCCTCACCTGTCTGTCACAGTAGAACAGTGAAGAAGGAGCCAATGACTGGATGGAAGGCGGAGCCAGGGGGCGGGGTCTAGATATAAAGGCTGGTGGATGGAGTCAGAGAGAAATTTGGTGAGAGATAGACTGTGTGAAACTTAAAAGTGAATTGAGAGTTGGTTAGAGATCTGTAAGGACGATGAATGTAATAGCGAGTTAAAAGAAGTTCAAAGTTATAGCAGTTTTGATTCAAATACTAGTGATTAGCAACCTGTGATTTACCTATTGAATATTAATCATATATTAACTTCCCTGATCTAATAAATGACTTAAGTTTTAAAAGCACACATGTCTCCATGATTCTCCCGCCAACCTAGCGGTTCGAAAGCATGCAAATGCAAGTAGATAAATAGGGACCACCTCGGTGGGAAGGTAACAGCGTTCCATGTCTAAGTTGCACTGGCCATGTGAACACGGAAGATTGTCTTTGGACAAAACGCTGGCTCTATGGCTTGGAAACGGGGATGAGCAACGCCCACTAGAGGCAAACACGACTGGACAAAAATCGTCAAGGGGAAACTTTACCTTTACCTCCATGATTAAATAGTATTAAAGCAGCAATACCTGGTGACAGCGAAGAAAGAAGAAGAGCGAGAACCTCGTGAAGGCCTGGGGGGATAGGGGCTTCAGAGGAGATCGCCACAGTCCTCATTCTGAATCAAAGGGGCAAGGTACTGAAAAGGCAGAAAAGAGTTTTCCTTTGCGCAATTGTCTTCTGTTGTAGTACCCCATTCTTTAAAGCAGGGAAGAAAAGCAAACTTGAATTTATGTTGCTTGATGACAAAATGTTTTACCAGAAGAGCAATCATTTGATGTCTTAAATTGCACAACGGCTGTTTTATCCTGATTTTAAGAGATTCACAGGATTTATAAATACAAATTTTATTGTATGGGCAACAAATGAGATAGATGAGTCCTATACGGCCCACAGTCAGAACATGAACCTGTACGTCCTGGCTATCACCTAGGTGAATGAAAGACAAGGTCTTTTTTGACATTTGACAGTAAGTACGCTGTCCACATGGTTGGCAGCCATATGACATTGATTACTGAAAAAATTGTAAAATTAACCTTGTCAGTTGCTATGCACATGTGATTTGTATGAACCAGTTTCAGAAAGGAAGCCATGTTAACCTGTTTCAGAAAAAAGAAAAAGAAAATTCAAATTGAAACAAATGTGTCAGTATTAATTACAATGCACAGGTGTCTGAAGTAGTTTATAATCCATGAAAACTCACACTGAAAAAAATTCTTTAGTCTTAAAGATGGCACAGTATTTCTGTTCTTCCTTTTGTTTCTGTTGCTACTGAATGAACCAGCTAACATTGTAAGTTTCCTCACCTTTGTAAATGACACCATTGGTTTGGATAGAAACCTCGTAATGAAAAACAAGTACATATTGGAATTTATAGGAGAGCAGGTGAAAAGAAGGAAACAGATTAGTCTGTTCAAAGTAATTTTCTTGTAACAGCAACAGCCATATGACAACTACCTGTCAGAGTATCTGTAAGGTGTGTGCATGTTTGGCCTGGAATAAGGTGAAGAACCAGAGAGAGAGAGAGAGTTAGGACACAGAGATGGAGAACCAACAGAACCAGAGGAACTATGGGACTTTGTACTTCTAGCTAGAAACCCTCATTGTGAGAAATTCAACTTTTGAACTGTGAACGTTTTGAATTAAGTTGACAAAAAACATCTGCTGCTGGGAGTAGGTCAAAGGGGATTAAGAAGACCCTGGTATGAGGATCCTCCTGAGCAAAGCAGATTCCACAGCTGTCCACTAAGTGATGGAAGACACATTAAACATTCCATACTTCGTAATAAGTGATAAGGGCCATATATCTAGCGGGAAACAAAGAAACATCTAATGCGCATGCCCAGCTAGCAACCTGCCTAAAAAGAATATAAAAAGAGGGTCCGGGCAGTCTGCTGAGACCAAAAGGCTTTTGGAACTAAGTATTTTTTTGGAACTTGGACAATGCAAATAAAGAATTCTTCTCTCTTTGGTGAGTATGTATGTGGTATGAATATGCTGAATGTATGAAACCCCTTTATTTAGAATTGTCATCAACAGGTAATAAAGTACTGTATATTCATTTTACAGTACATTTATTAATGTGTCTTGTGAGGTCCTTTGCTGTTTAATATTGTTCTTGGGATACAGAAGATCCAGTAGTCACCCTTTTGTGACATGTCTCTCATTACGATTGTCCACCCAGGCCATCTGGTCTATCCAGGCTTTGCAGTTGCAAGTGGTCACCCCTAGAGATACCAAGAAAATGCCAGGAACCAGGCTTTACCATCAGTGATGGCAATGCTATGGAATGCACACTAGGCTGGCTCCTTTCTGACTTTCAGGAAAGGTGTGAAAGCTGAGCTTTTCATAGAGGCCTTTGGTAACATCCTCCACTTCTTGTTTTTTTTAATTAATAACTTGAGACAAAGTAAGGGATACAGAGGGTAAAGGGGAATATAGGAGGAAAGAAAAAGGAGGAGGAGGAGGAGAAACACAAAATATACTGACATCCAATCTATACATGATTCAATATCTACTCGACTTTTTGCTTTTCTACTATTTGATTGCCCTCCAGGTTTTAACTTACATTTACATCCTAGTTTAAATCTATGTTATTCAAGTACTATCTGGTGACTCAAGCCATTTAGATAATAAATCACATCGTTCCATTGCCTTTTGTATTGGACAATCTTTCAACACTTCTGATAAGATATCCATTTTTGCCGCTTCCCGTATCTTCTCAATAAGTTCCTCTTGTTTCAGTATCACCGGTTTCTTCCTATTCTTGGCATAAAGAATTCTGGCTGTAGTGACTATATATATAACTAAGTAGTTCTTTGTCTTATCTACTGTATATTGTCTGGTGTAATACTCAGTAGAAGCATTTCTGGGGTTAGTGGAACCTTACAAAGCAATATTTTTTGTAACAGAGTATGTACTCCTATCAAATATTGTTTCGCTACTCTGCAAGTCCACCACATATGGTGAAAGCTTCCCTCATGTGCTTCACACTTCTAACAAACATTTGACACATCTGTATAAATCTTTGTCAATTTTTCCAGAGTCATATGCCACCTATAAAACATCTTGTAAATATTCTCCTTGAAATTAACCGATTTTGTGAGCTTTATATTATTTTGCCATATTTGCAATCATTGATCAATATCAATGCTATGTCCTATATTTTGAGCCCACCAGTATTTAACACACTCCACTTGTGATACTCTCATAGACCCATGTGTTTCAATTTAAATTTTGTTTGCCACTGCCTTAGAAATTCTTTAAGTTGGTTTTCATTAATTGTGGATTATGTTGTAGATGAGTTTTTTTATCCATTCTCTTTATTTTTGTTTGTCCTTCATCGTGGTGCTCTGTTACTAGATGGGCAGATAACCAACCAGCCACCCAACCCAACCCAACCCAACCAACCAGCCCAGCCAACCAGCCCCCAACTTATAATTCTCCAGCATCAGGTGATGATGACTTTCTGATCCAACTTGCAAAATTATAGCTTGTTTCCTTGAATGCTTCGTTTATAAGGAAAGTAGACAATTTCAGTAGTGCATTTTTTTTAAAAAACTGCCAATTTAACCCTTTTAGGTTGTATTGAATTCTTGATATGGATGCCACAGAATTCCGAAGAAGAGGGAAGGAGATGGTGGACTATGTTGCAGACTACCTTGAGAAGATAGAGAACAGACAGGTCTACCCTGATGTGGAGCCTGGATACCTGAGGCCCCTTATCCCTGATTCTGCTCCTGAGGAACCTGAGAGATATGAAGACATCCTTAAAGATGTTGAAAAGATAATTATGCCTGGGGTAATAATATCTAAATAGTGGATATATGGAAAAATGTTGGAATAGCGGGATTTCAAATGGTTCCTGAAAGCCACATTTCCTTTCCTGCCTCCCGCCATGAAATGGGGCAAGCGTGGCTTTCCCGGCTAGGTGTCAGGGCAGGAGTGGGTTCATGGGGGGGGGAAGGGATCTGTCCTTAGGAGCTTCTTTCAAAATTTCTTTCAAACTATAGTCTGGCCCCCCAACAGTCTGAGGAATGATGAACTGGTCCCCTGTTTAAAAAGTTTGAGGACCCTTGCTCTACTACACCCACCCACTCAAAATGGTGTAACAACACAGGAATATTTTGTATAGCTAACAGTACGTCAGACACAGCTCTCCCTCAGCAATAGAGATATAGTAGTGATGAATTTTGCATGCATGAACTGGCAGGGTATTTTTGAATGCTCATAGTTCTGTGGAGAAAACACAACAATTCTAAATAAAAACATAGTTAGATCTTAATTGACTAAAAGCATAGCAGGAGTAGATTAGATGTTTGCAAAATAAATAGGCAGAATAACAGTTGCATATTCTGCCTCCGGTTTGGTTTCTACAGGGACTAGAGGTTTGCTTTCACTAAAAAGAAATTAAAACTAGGAACTGGGGAACTATGATTCATTGGAGGCTGACAGCCCCTCACTTTCCTCATGCATGTCCATGTCTGCTTTGATAATATGTTGAATAAATGTTGTAGTTAGGATGCTACAAGGGCCCTCCTGTTGTTTCCAGATTGTAAAATAATATATTACAGCTGAGAAAGTTTGGATTTATATTTGACTGAACCTTTCACTGTGGTTCCACATGCACTTTCTACTCATGCTCAGGAGTCTTCATATTAATCTATAGTTAAGCAATTTGTCCTATCACTTTGACTTCTCAGCTCCTGTTTATGGAGTTCTTCTCATACTGGTCAATGCTTGCTTCTATTTTCAACAGGTGACTCACTGGCACAGTCCTTACTTCTTTGCCTATTTCCCTACTGCAAACTCTTATCCAGCACTTCTGGCTGACATGCTGTCTGGAGCAATTGGATGTATTGGGTTTTCTTGGGTAAGTTTATGGTGGACAATCAGATGATTCCATCAAGTAAATGTTAGATATGAGAACCCCTCCTTTCCCTGCTTGGTCATGTAAACTCACTAGAGGGTGGAACTGGTAAAAACACTCTTTAAATATCTTACATCTTGAAAATCCCTTTAGGGTAGCTATATGTTGGTTCCAACTTGAAGACATATACAGCACCAATCTTAGAATCCTATAATCATAAAATAATGAAGTTAGAAATGACCTATAAGTAATAATAATAATTTATTACAGTCAGTGACCAGGAAAAAGGGCCTATAAGGCCATTGAGTCCAACTCCCTGCTCAAGGCAGGAATCCAACTCAAAGCAGACCTGAGATGGTTGCTCAGTTTTCTTTTGAAAATGCCTCCAGCGTTGGAGTGCTCATCACTACTCCCAATAGTTAAGACGTTTTCCCAGATATTCAGCCTAAATCTGGTTTCCTGTAACTTGAGCCCATTATTACGTCTCCTGCATTCTGGAAGCCCTCCTAACTATGAACGTAAGGGAACATTGAGGTCTGTGGGCTAAATCCAACTTTAGTCCCAGCTAAAGCAATAGGTTTCTCTTAAATGTAGAGTAACTAAGCCTTGTATATATATGTTACAAACTTTCCTAAATGTTTATTAGTACTATGTCCAATGTGTTTTTAAAAAAATAAAATTATTCCTATGTCCAAAACCTACCAGTTTTATCCCACCCTTTAGAACTGGTGTTAGTTGGAGGTGCACAATGCCCCACCCCAAAGCCATGTTTTACAAATGGGGAACAAACAGATCCATGTGGTTTATCTGAATGCCTTGCCAGATTCTGGTGACAATTTCATGTTTATTTAGTGGAAAGTGGCAATCTCGTGTCTACCTTTGAAGCTGCAGGATCTTTCTTGTGAACAAATATTGCTCTGTTAAGGGTGAGATCTCAAGATAGTTTCACGCATTTGTCTGTGGCTGGGCATAATATGGAGCACAATATGAGAATGACTTTTCGACTCCTGAATACACATGCACACATACTTCTAATCCCCCAACACATATAGACATGTGAAATATCATATGCAGGTTGTCAAATGGGTGATTACTTTCCCCTGATTTTGTGGCTGAAAAGTTATCTATTCTTACTGGCTTATAGATGACATTCTACATACAGTAGGCATGAATGAGCTGCAGCCCCTTCCATGCCTCATTGTATCTAGAGTACATGCACAGTTTGTAAAATATACACACATTTAAGAGGAGCCAGGCATCTTTAAATTCCCTTTTTCCTATGTTTCTCCATTCTAGGCTTCAAGCCCAGTTTGTACAGAACTGGAGACAGTCATGCTGGATTGGCTAGGAAAGATGATCAATTTGCCTCCACAATTTTTGGCTGAGAAGGAAGGAGAAGGAGGTGGGGTGATCCAGGTAATCCGGAATGTTTGTAGGCTTAGTTATTGTTAGTTATATGTCCTGTCTAAATGAGACAGAATATAAAATATATATACTAATATATATGTTTAAAAATGTAACTATATCATAATCATTCACCCAGTTTCTAATTCAGTTCTCCAAATGCTTAACTTAAGCAGCCAAAACAGCATTGCTCACTTACAAGAGGGAGACACAGGGTAACAATTTACAGAAATCCATAAAATGAATGGGGCAGCCTCAAGGAGGAGGCCTCCAAACAATCCAATGACCTGAGATGGAGGGAAAATGAAATCTTAAAAGCTGTGTGGTAAAATGAAGTAGTATGATTGGACAAGAAGTGTAGTGAGCATGGTAGTTGTTTCCTGGTTTGCACTGGGAAGCTCCCTAAAAATGTCTCCAGGGACAGAGAGATTGATTGAGAAAATGAAAATTTCAGTGTAGCATCACTGCACCACACTGGACCATTCTATCTCCTCAAACTCCCAAAGTGATAAAATATTTCAAGTTCAACCCAATGTGGCTCATGCTCAGTGGACAAGGAAGGGTAGTTGACTGTTGGTCAAGAAATAGGAAACTGTGTAGGAAATGATGGAGCATTCTGAAGACAAGCACTCTATGCTACAATATTTTGTTATTGGCCCTACTTTAATGGTTTCACAATCTTTCAAGAAATATGTGTTTATGGGCACTTAACTAAAAAATGGGACATGAAAAGCTCGTATTTTCAAGAAGACAACATATGTGTAGCCAAGCTGATACTGCAGTACAGCTTTTTAACCACTGCGCCATGAGGCTCGCCACTCGTGGGCACTTAAATAAAAATGGGACATGAAAAGCTCATCCTTTCAAGAAGACAATGTATGTGTAGCCAAGTTGATGGTCCAGTTGGTCATAGTCAATTTCAAAGTAGCATTTGTGGAGGAAAGGCTCCTCTACTTAGTCCTGCATGTTTTGCTGAGATCTCTTCCATTTGTTGTAGTAGAACTATATCATGTGAACTGTGGTATGAACTTGAGACCTGATCATCCAGCTACACACTATTACAAATGGTTTATATGCCAGCTGAACAAAACAATCAAACAATTGAAATAAGTGTTAAAGTAGACATCTTATGTGTTATGTTAGTGAATCATGTCAACCTCATCAAATAGAGAAAAGAAACAGAGTCAGAAATCTCAGCTTGGTTTGTGCTGTTGCTTGATAACAGCAACAAATTGGTAATTGTTCTGCCTTCAGAGCCCAAAGTACCTGGAGAAGAAAGAAAATTAACAGAAAATTAAAGCAGTCAAGCTGTTGTAAAACATGGTTGCTATGTGTTTGAAATCCCAAACATGGTTTGTGTGTTAGTATTGCTGGTAATTAATCAGTTTTATACTGCTTCCCATATCTAATGATATTTGTAAGTGCTAAACATTCTGTTTAGCATAGACTGTGAGAGTCATATGATTTTCAGATTGTCCCTTATTGTGACATCTGCTTTTTATATTGAATCTGATAGGCTGTACTGTACTGTACTGTTTGATTTTTCTGTGCTTAGCTACTGTTTAACTTATTGGTAGCTGCTGAATGTGTGAAGTGACTCCGTTGAAAATGATTGTGTTGAAATCATAGTAATATTCTGCCTGTGGTGTTGCATCTACAACAAGCCAAGATATATACAAATAATCAGTTGATGTTTGAGTGATCAAGATATTATGGAAGTGTGAAACAGCCCTGGAACTCTTAGTTATTCAAATTCAGTTAGTTATTCCATTTTACACATAGGTGAAACCCTTACCAGTGTAATTTCCTGTGGAAATAGAGCTCACTTTTGTCTCTGTTTCCAAATATTTTAGATTCCCACCTTCTGACTTTGAGAAATAAGGTTGTCTTTTATCTTTGTACTCTTCTGTTGCTAGTTGATTTCCAGCGGCAATATTGCATCATAATGAGTGAATATTATTGAGACTTCTTGCCAGATTTTGACCACTACCCACATAGTTTTACATCTTGAATGATCCTTTCTAAACCCCTCACACGCTCTTACATCTGTGACCTGCTTTTGTTTGTGTTATAAAAGTGTCATTTTACTTAATCTTGTAGTCACCCATATTTAGTTCTGGCAGCAATGAAGAATTCATGTCTGTTTGCAAATTGGAGATGCTTCAGTTTTAAGTTGGCAGCTCTTGATTGCCTATAATTTTGGAAGACACTGATCAATGGTGAGAGTCGCTGCTGCAGCTGAAAATGAGGCAATTTGTGCTGCTGGTCCTTCCCCCTTGTGCTCATAAAAACAATAAGGAAAACAAGAAATGACATGACCAAGGTGTGCTTCATATTAGAGTGTCAGTCATTTCAGGCTCTAAAGCCAGATGAATATTATTGTGTTGACTTCTGGAAATGGGGGCCTAATTACCCTGAAAGGCCAAATCAATATGTAGCCTATTCTTCTTGCCTCAGAGGCTGACACTTGAAAAAAATCAAAGATGAAAGAAAATTTTGGCTTCAGGGCTCTGGTGACATAAGTGGCACTTCTTACCAATAGTTCTGCCACCTCTTGAGCCTGCTTACCATGGAAACCACCATTTCCTGGCAGTGACAAAACAAGCAGAAGAATAATCTTATTTAGTATGAGAGCCATAAGTTTATCAGCTGATCTTGTAAGATAGACACTTTATTCGCCCACCCCATTCCATTTTATTTTTATGTACTCCAGCCATATACACAAGTCTTCAGGGCCAAATCTGTGAAGACCCATTAGAAAGTACTGTATGAGACTTGGGAGTCACAACAAACACACACATATTTTCAGTGGCAGATACTTAGGTAAGGAGCTTAACCTGTCCTTTTAAATAAAAGAGGCTTACAAATATTTAATATCACCTGGATTGGGCCCCTAAACAGAATAAAACGGCCTCCCTGCCTGGCCACTCAGCTTGCTGTGATTATGTCAGAACACAAGGAGTACCTGCTTATCTCTTGTTACACCTCCTCCTTCCCTGTTTGGAAAACCATGCTATCATACCAAATTCTCCCTACCTGGGATTTGCCTCCTATTAGGGACTGTCACGTCCCCCTAATGTCCCTTGTTTGTTCCCCCCAAACACAGGTCCACCCTCAGGATGCATTGCCTCTGTTTACGCTGCCACCAGTGGATCTAGTCCACAGTATACCAAATATATCTCAGACACATGCTGCCAGTATAACAGGTTTATTGATCTTTTAGTTGGTATGTAAATCACAGTTGCTGAGGATTGTTCATTAAATTGGATTTGATTACACGTTTACTTATACAGTATGTAACCTCTTTAACAATATTCTTTAATCATCTATTTATTCTCTATTCCTTTTAACTCTTTCCTATTCTCTATAACACTCCAACTTTCCAATCTCTGTCTTAACTCTCTCAATTCGAGGTCCTAACTCTCCCACTTCCATTCCCTTTCTTCTCTGTCTCTCTAACTCTCTGTCACTCTGACTCCGCCCCTCCTGTCCTATCATAGGCTCCTGCACTTGAGCTCCATATGATGGACAGGAGTGACATGCGCATTCTGCCACAGGGACCATTTTTGGTTGGAGTGCCCTGACTGACTCTCTCTCTCTCTCTTCTTCTTCTTCTTCTTCTTCTACACCCCAGGGCACTGCCAGTGAGGCAACGTTGGTTGCAATGCTCGCAGCTCGAATGAAAGCCATCCACCGAGCCCAGTCAGAGAACAAAAACCTGACTCAGGGGGACATTATCGACCGGCTGGTGGCTTATACCTCTGACCAGGTGAGTACTGCTAGACACCAGAGTGTGAGCTTTTAGAAAAGCTTATCTTAGAAGAATCCTGTTAGCCTTAAAGGTGTCACATGTCTGCTTGTTATTTTGATGCAGCTAGCTCTGTGGAAACTATGGTGTATAAAATGCATAAAACACAGACTTAGGCTTGGTAACAATGTGCCTTTCATCCAACCCTTTGCTCTCCAAGGTTCTCCCAAGGAGGCATATCTTTAAGAGCCAGAGTCCACATGATGGCATGCTTTTAAAAAGTTGGTTGCTTCTATTCTAAAGAAAAAGCAGCTGCGCACTCCTAATCCACAATATGCTCCCAATTTGTATTCAGGATCTGGGGCTGTTTGCCCCCTTGACTGCTGTTTTGACTTGATGTTTTTCTCAACAACACTTATTGGGGAGAGAATGGCTGCAAAGGGGCAATAATGGGAAGAAACCTGGTTTCAAGCTGAGGAGGATCAGAGCCTTCTGGCTGCTCCCCTGCCACCCCAATCAAAAAAGTTTTCACACTGCTTTCTGTTTCATAGTGAACACAGTGTCAGGCTGGGACTCAGGAGACTGAAGTTAAAATCCAAGCTAGGCCATAAAAATGTACTAGGGAGTGGCACTGGTAAATTGATCCTTAGACGTCTCACATAACTCAAAAATCCTATCATGGCAAGCATAATTAAAAGTTAGTTTAGGGCAAACAACAACTGAAGACCTCCGTCACCATCAGTCATCTGTCCATTTTTCCTCGAATTTGATTCTTGAGCTTTCTCTGTGTCAATTCATTCTCCACAATTTCAGAAGTACATGTGTTTCTTAGAATGTGAAGATATTGTTGTCTTTCTGACCTTTCCCCCTTATGATAATAAATTAACTTTACTTGCACTGGAATTGTGTAGCCTTTGTTCTGTAAACAATCGTCTCAGAACTCAATAAAAACAATAGATTACATCTCAGACTTTTTTTAAAATTAAAGGATGCCTCAAAGTCAGATGTAGCTTGATGTAGGTAAACTCTATGCAAGATATCTCCTCCAGAAATTGGAAGGATGAGCAACTGAAAACAATCTGTTAGCCCCTGAACAACTGACTAGCATTCTACTTTGCACCATGTCTTTCTGTTACAATATCTAATTAGCAAATACAGTGGTGCCCCACATGACGATGACCCAGCAGAATGACGAAATTGCATTACGATGACTTTTTGCGATCGCTATAGTGATCGCAAAATGATGTTTCCTATGGGTTTTTTTTCACTGGACATCGATTAGGTTCTTGCTTCGCGAACTGTTTGTTCGCAAAATGACGATTTTCCGGCTCCACAAAATGGCTGCCCTGTGCTGTGGACGTGCCTGGAAGTGAAAGGAAAGTCCAATGCTGTAAAGAAAAATACTGCATAGGAACCTGGAATGTAAGATCTATGAACCTTGGGAAGCTGGAGGTGGTCAAACAGGAGATGGCAAGAATAAACATTGACATCCTGGGCATCAGTGAACTAAAATGGACAGGAATGGGCGAATTCAGCTCAATTTCCCCATTGGAATGCATTAAATGGGTTTCAATGCATTCCAATGGGGAATTCTTTTTCGCATGATGACGATTTCGCTTAACAGTGATTTTCCTGGAACGGATTATCGTCGTCATGCGGGGCACCACTGCACACTGAAGGATTACTGAGGCAATTATTTGTAGCTTTTAGCAATCTTAAAACAAAGTTTGACTCTATTCCAAGAAATTACCTTTGGGAAAAACTGATAAATCTTAATATAAACTTCATATTGCTAGAGAGAATTATAGATCTGCACATTAATATGTCTTTAAAAGTCAAAGGTGGCATTTCAGGCCAATTGTCTAATGCAGATAAAACATCCAAAGGGATATGCCAAGGTTATATCCTGGCCCATTACTTTTTTTTAACATATAAATGATATGGTTGACCAGTTAACAGGATCACAATTCTTCCCAGTGAGAGTGGGTGGAAAAGTCATTTCAATACTACTTTATTCAGATGACACTTTGCTAATATCTCATAGAATCATAGAATCATGAAGATGGAAGGGGCCTATGAGGCCATGAAGTCCAACCCCCTGCTCAGCGCAGGAATGCAAATCAAAGAATATCTGCCAGGTGGTTGTCTAAGTTTCTCTTGAATGCCTCCAGTGTTGGAGCACCCACCACCTCTTGAGGTAATTGGTTACACTGTCGCACCGCTCTAACAATTAAGAAGTTTTTCCTGATATTCAACTGAAATCTGGCTTCTTGTAACTTGAACCCATTGTTACATGCCCTGTACTTTGGGATGATTGCTCCTTCTCTGTATGACGGCCTTTCAAGTTTTTGAAAAGTGCTATCATATCTCCCCTCAATCTTTTTTCAAAGATCAACAGGCCCAGTTCTTTCAATCTTTCCCCATAAGGCTTGGTTTCCATACTGAAATATGTCTCAGAAGATTGCTGAAACAATTCAGCATTTACTATAAGAAGAATCTTCTTATGAGAATTATGAGAAAACCAAAATTATGGTCTAACAGAAGATATAACCGTCATGAATGAACAATGGATGGGAGGATATTAGAAGAGCCATCTCATTTCAAGTACTTAGGAGTGATATTCCCCCAGTAAGGTCTTGGGCGTCTCAGACTGAGTTCGCTGAGCCAAAATTTGAAAAGGCCATGTTTGCCATACTTTTTTATTTTATTTTACAGACCTAGAGGATGATATTGGCTTCCATCCATTTGTGAAATTTTCAAAACAAAATTACTCCCTCGGCTATTGTATGGAGCTGAAATTTGAGGATTTGTGACTTTACATCCATTAGAAGTCATTCGAAATACGTTTGCCCAGCTACTGCTGGCATTGCCCCCTTTAACTCCTACAGCTCCAGTCAAACTGGAGCTGTCATTTAAACCAGTAATTACCTTAGCTGATAAAGCAGCAAATAACTATTGGTTGAAAATTCTATTCTGTGCTCCTTAAGACTTTTTAACATTATCATACAGGTAGATGAAACTTGGTTCATGGAAAACCTTTGTACTGAATCTGGTTGCTAAACAGAAGCGTATGTGAGGCACCCTGATTTCTCTACAGCAAAACTTACGTTAAAGCAAAGACTATTAGATCTCAGTGTTCAAACAGATGCAGATTTATTAGGCATCTCAAGAACTGCACCCCTTTGCAAAAAGATCTCTCCACCTTTGACCATTCCACCTTATTTTGCTGATCTCATGAGCTTTGATCACAGAAAAGTCTTCACTATAATTAATGTCTAGATATTTTGCCACTTGCTGTCTCAGAAGGCAGATTCAAAGGAATTCTATATAATCAACATGTTTGTTCCTGAGATTAAAAATAAATTGAGAATTTGGTACAAGTTATTCTTTATTATTCCATGTTCACATCAGAGAAACTGAGGTCTATTTGGGGACAATTTTCTGAAAAATCTGACCAAGAGAAACTTAGGATGTTACATGGACAAAAAAGTTTGTCACACTTCAAATGGCAAGGTTTATTTCAATTTAATGTATTCGCGAAAGCTTTCATGGCTGGGATCTAATGGTTGTTGTGGGTTTTTCAGGCTCTTTGGCCATGTTCTGAAGGTTGTTCTTCCTAACGTTTTGCCAGTCTCTGTAGCCGGCACCTTCAGAGGACAGAGTGCTGTCCTCTGAAGATGCCGGCCACAGAGACTGGCGAAACGTTAGGAAGAACAACCTTCAGAACACGGCCAAAGAGCCCAAAAAACCCACAACAACCATTTATTTCATTTCTTATAAAAATGAAGTCTGCATCCTCTGCCATTAACCAAGCTAGCAGTTAGATTATGGCTACTAAGGGGCCTTTGTCATTGATTTACTCTTTCATAATTAAGTTTACTAGCTGTATTAATTTTTATGTTTAAATATGTATGATGTATTTGTTAGATCTGAACAGAAGTTTAATTCAAATTTCCTTCCTTGTATCATGTTGCGTTTTTCCTTATGACATCCTCAAAGGCTTCTGTGCTAAAGCAATAACCTGAATGTGTTCATTTGTTTGAGTAAAGAGTCAAGTGTATTCAAATGTTATTCCAGATAAGATAAACCTTCTTAGGACCAACCAGGGAGGTGACTAATCTTCAGATCATCCCTGGCTGTCCAGAAACAATTACTGTAAAATGCTTTTATGTTTGTCCCCAAACAATCTCTTTTTTTTTCAATGAGACTAATATTTAGCAGCTATCTACCAGCTGTTCCCAGTGGGGAGATGCTCTGCCTAAGACCAGAGAAAGTTTGAACTTAAATGAAAGAAAACATTGACCCTGCTACCAGAAAAAACCAATATGACATTTTCGTTTCTAAATGTCAGAGAACTATTTCTTTTCTTTGCTATTTCGAATTTTAAAAACTATAATATTAGGGTCAGTTCTGTACTCTTCCCTTTATTATTTGTTTTTAAAAGGTCTTGTTTTAAATCATAAGCACATCTTAAATAGCAAGTGGCATTATTAGTCCAAGCATTATGGGATTCTTTCCTTTATCCTAAATCTCAAAATTATAAAGAACATCTTGACCATGATTCAGCTGGCAACATTTATCAGGCTTGATCTGTTTGCATGTGAAGTGAACCTATCACTGTGTGTTAGATGTGGAATGAATTGTTGCCATTAGCAACATATCGAGGCAAAGACTGAATGCGGGCTCCAAAACAAAATCTTATAAACCAGCAGAAGAAAATATAAGAGACCCTGTAAACGATAATTTATTTGTAACATTCATCTCCTCTATCTGTGTTTGTCAGATAATAAATTTATTCCAGAAGGCACTCCAGTTCAATCAGTGCAAATAAATATTACAACATGGATAAATGTGTGCACTTCTTTCACTAAAAGAAAGAAAGAAAGAAAGAATTTTTTTCTGTCACCAAGCCAAAAAAATGCTTTCCCAATGCATTTATTTTGGCTAAATAAGCCAGCATACACATGAAAAAGAATGGGGTGTGAGAAAAGATGGAGGAGAGTTTAAGATCAAAGGAATTG